GTAGAAGACAACAGTGGTTCAACATACGCATAATAGAAATTTTTGAAGAAGAAAACCAAAACAATTAAATAGAGCACATGCTCAAAGATATAATCCATAATAATTTTGCTGAAGTTAAAAAAAAAAAAGACTTGAATCTATGCAATGAATTGTCATACTATTCAGCTGGAAACATTTATGAAGAATGGTCAATATGGAGCCATATTATAATAAAGTTAATGCGTAAGATAATGAACAACTCTTTGGGGCATGCTGGTAAAAAACTGAGTCACTTGTAAAGAGAAAAAAATTAGCTGATTCAGATTTAGAGAACACTTGAGGAAGATGGAGCATTAGCCACAAGAGATATTCAAGGAAAGAAAGTATCAACAGAGAATTTTATGTTCCATAAAACATAAAGTATAAGGCTACAAACAAACAACTAAAAAGCAACCCCAACACTCAGGAAATGTTCCCATGAGTCCATCTTGAGGAAACTGATAGAGGATAAACTTCAGCAAGAGAGAAGTGACTGAGGAAACTTCTGCAAAAGTCTGGTTTTATTTATAAGAAGATCATGTGGACAAAGCAGAATATAAACGTTATATGAACTAACAATATAGGAATGATACAACTACCAAAAACTAGGGGGAGAAGAGGAGAAGAATATGGTGAGTAGATTAATTTTGCTGATTGACTCATCTGTAGAAGATGGGAATTAAATATTACCTAAAGTTGGTAAATCAAATAAAAGAATTTGAAAGTATAAGAATATTTACCAATAAAAAGATAAATACTAAGGAAGATTCTCCTCTTGACTAATATTAAATGGTATGTGAAAAGGTTAAATGGGAGGAAAGAATACATTGTTCAAAGGAAAGAAGCAGTAGATATGTCTAAATAAAGGCCAAAGTGCACTATATACATTTATAACTTTTAAGGTAACCCAGAGAGTAAAAATACAAATCTTTCTAAATCACAAAAGACATACACACAAAAACAAAGCAAAAAAAACCAAACCACATAAAGGACTTTAAAAAATCAAAATAGTAAAACAGAATATAAAATAAGATTAAACACTCTCATATCAACAAATAGAAATATATTTAACTTATAGATTTAAAGAAAAAATATTCAAGTTACACCACAAAACAAATAAAACCCCTTCTTCTTTAACTAAGAAACAATGTTTCAAAGTAGATGAAAACAAAAACACAGACAAAGGAATATTCAACAAGTGGAAACAAAAGGAAAGTGGAGGGAAGGGAACTTAGTCTTCTTAGCAGGTAAGGTAATGCCAATGCTAATTACTAGAGGTAATGCTAATTACTTTTCTAACAGGAAATATAAAATTGAAAAAAAAAACTATTGGAGTCAAAGGGAATAACATAATAAAAATACTTAAAAAAAAAACAAAAATGAAAATATCACATATAAAAATCTATGGGATACAACTAAAGCAGTACTCAGGAAAATTTATAGTTTAAAGTCCTTTATTAGTAAAGAAAAAAGGAAAAACAAACAGCTAAGTACTCATTTTCAGAAATTAGAAAAAGAATAAAATAATACAAAAGAAAATGGTGCCAGGTCCAGTGGCTCACACCTGTAATCCCAGCACTTTGAGAGGTGGAGGGGAGAGGATTGCCTGAGACCAGGGATTTGAGACCAGCATAGGCAACTTGAAGAGACATTGTCTCTACAATAAATAAAAAAAATTAGCTGAGCGTGGTGGTGCACACCTGTGGTTCCAGCTACTTGCAAGATTGAGGTGGAAGGATCGTCTAAGTCCAGCAGTTTGAAGCTGTGGTAGCTGTGACTGTGGCATGGCACTCTAGCTTGGGTGGCAAAGTAAGACTCAGACTCCAAAAAAAGGAAAAAGAAAATGGAAATGGGAGGAGTTAATGAAGATAAGTGCTGAAATTAATGGTATAGAAGACAAACAAAAATAGTAGAAAGTATAAACAAAACCAAAGATTCTATATTTCTTTTTCTTAGATTGGAAAAAATAGTATATTTAGAAAGTAAATTAGAGAGAGAGACAGAGAAGAGGAGTTTCACCTCCACAAGGTAGAGAAGGGGACCAAAGCTAGGAAACATGGCATCCATAGCTCAAAGAGCCATGTGGCCACACCAGAGTTTAACAAAGCAATGGCCGCTATATACTTTTGAAATGACCAATAATGACACTGACGTAAGTACAAATAGAGCAAAATGTTCAAAATTGGGAAAATGAGAAAACGAACTACAGACACAGGAAAACAAAAATAATTGTAAGAGAAAATTACATGAAGATCTCCGGGTAATACATTTGAAAGCCTAGAGGAAACCTGTTATTTCATAGAAAAAAATATAAATTTTTAAGGTTGACTCAGGTTGCAGTTGAAAATTAGAATAAATCAGTGAACACAGAAGAGTCTAGGAAAGTGAGAGAAGAATTATCCGTGAAAGAGCCAACATGGTAGGTTCAGCTTACAGATGATTTTTTATGTAGCTTTTGGGGGGGAAAATATAATTTCAAAGTTGTTGAAATTGTTCTAAGCCATAGAAAATAATTAAATTTCAATATTATACTCTAAAGATAGGATAATAAGAGAAAAACATAGACCACTCTAGCTCATAAATATTGATGCAGTGATTCCATATAAGTTATTAGTTAAGAATTCAGCAAGGTATCCAAAAAATAACATACAACTAGTAAGAAGATCTTATTTTAAGAATGTAGTCATAGTTCAATAACAGGAAATTTAGTCAGTAATAAATACTTAAAGACATTTGATTTAAAAAATACACAAAAACCCCCAACTATTATAAAAACTCCAATAAAGTAGGACTGGAGGAAATGTGTACATACACATATAAAGAAACATTGAAAACACATATATGCATTTTAAAGTTGTAAATAATACTTTTCCCAGTGATATTTCCTTTTAACAGGATCAGACATTTGAGGCAGTAGATCACAGAGGCTCTTGTTGAATTCAAGGAGAGGTTTTCTTGGGGCAATGTGCACCCCTTGCTAGCATACCACACATGTGACTTTTTCTTTGTATAAAAGTAGCTTATTTGGTATCATATAAATGTAACTTTCACATACTTTATGACTGTATGTACTTTAAATGTACAGAAGCAGTGTTTCTTCCATAGTTGATCTCTCAGATTGAGATAGTCATAGCTTTAGAGTTAGGTAGCACTGGGTGAGGATATCCAGTGTCACAGACTAACATGGCATATATTTCAACAGCGTAAATTTTCATTGAAGATTGGAGATCAGTACAGTTAGCTGATTTCACTTGTAATAACTTATATTGGATATTAAAATAGTCATACTAAGGATTAAAGTTAAAAAATTTTACATGAATTATAATGATAAACATGAGAAATCAAAAGTAATTTTGGTGATTATATAGGGCCTCCTTCAAATATGCTCCAAAATCCTTGGAGGTGCATATAATTCCACAGTGGTGTTAGAAATATTTTAGTAGAAAAGTTTGAGAGGCTCTATGATACAGTGTCTTAGATAGAAGCATACATATGCTTTAAAACTGTTAGAAAAATTACAATTTTATTGATAAAATAATGACTTTTATGACCCTAGAATAAACACTTGAGGATTTTGTGAAAATCTACTTGAGAAAACACTTTAATATTGCTTAATAATGCTTGAATTATTCTCAGTAATTATTTCATTATTGTACATAATTGGCAGACTTGGAACTGAGATTCTCCATTGTGTTTTCTTATTTATAATGAGCATGAGTTATCGAATATCTACTAATTTCCTTCAAAGGCAAAAATTAAGGTGATGTCAAATGTTCCTGGCCAACCTTCAAAACTATTATTTTTCTTCACTTTTCACAATTCTTTAACATTTCTGGTTGGAGATTATTATATTTATCCAAAGATACAAATGGGAGATTTATAACCCAAAGAATAATAAAGATTTTATAGCTGACTAATCTCTTCTGTATTTTAAGATAGGATTCATTATTCTTGACAAATGGCATTTAACTTTATATGGCTCCAGAGGTGATTATGAGATCTGATCAGATTCCTATGGAGCAAATTCACTCATTCAGAAATTGTAGAACTATTCGCAAAACACGTGCTGCAGAGATCCAACAATGAATCAAGCAGATCCAGTCTTCCAAGAGCTTATAATTGGGTAAGGGAGATAAGCCATATACTATTGGTAATGTTACAATGACTATTAAATCAGAAAAAACACACTTATATAAAATCCATATTACATAATAAATATTGAAAAATATTTTAAAAATTACCCTGGAAGACTCAGGAAGAGTGGAAGAGAGAGAAACTTGGAAGGGACAGAAAAACTATGGTGATCACCAACAAAATGAATTGAAATTCTGTTGTCTAGTAATTATCAAAGGATTTGGGTGACCAAGAGTACTTTAAGTGTAGCATAACACTTAAGCTATTAGACCTTGGGATAACTTCCATGTGATTTGTAAATTCCCAGAAGGCTAGAAGGGCAAACACCCTGAAAAATTATACTTTAAGGGACTGTGTGAACTTGATTTATAAGATGGATTCCAAATCACACATTTTTGTAAGTATGACTCCAGTTTCTCTTTAACATCGATGTCATATAATTTAAGTTCTAAATTAAAGAAGCAAACGACTCATGGGATTCTTTGAACATGTATATTTATTGAAGTAATAAATAAGAATCCTAGTTAGATGGAAAATGAGAGGGCTAATCTAATTATTTAATTACATTTTAAGTTTAGAGATATTAGTGTGTGGGCCTGTGCGAGTGTGTGTGTGCTCATATGCACATAAACTCTATTAAATTTTTTGAGCGTAATGTCTTATTCTCTCCCTCCCTATCTCATATTACCTGTAAATTAGTTCTTTATGGAGCATGCTTATTTTAGAAATTACTGTTGATACTAGGAAGATCTCATATTCAAACATTTATATGAACACATGAATGCATAAGAGTAAGATTCTCTCTCTTTCTCTCTCTCTCTCTCTCTCTTTCTCTTTTTAATTTTCAGGCATAGATATTCTTCAACAACTAGGCCTTGGAGGCAAAGATGTAAGACACTCATCATCAGTGACTGCTGTAACTTCATCATCTACACCATTACCTCAGGGGGTCCATTTAACAGAATCAGGTGTCGTTTTAAAAAGCGATGCTTATATTGAGTCACCTCTCATGAAAATTTTGCCGGTTAACTTAGGGAAGCCATTTACAGTATTAATTGGGTTGCAGTCACATAGAGTGAACAATGCATTTCTCTTCAGCATTAGAAATAAAAATAGGCTACAATTAGGAGTTCAATTACTACCTAAAAAATTAGTAGTATACGTTGGAGGAAAGCAGTCTATATTTTTCAACCACAGTGTTCATGATGAACAATGGCATTCATTTGCCATTACTGTTGGAAACCACGTTGTCTCGATGTTTGATGAGTGCGGAAAGAAGTCTTTTAGCAGAGAGACTATTTCAGAATTCCAGAACTTTGATTCTAACAGCGTGTTTACCTTAGGAAGTATGAATAATAATTCTGTCCATTTTGAAGGAATAGTTTGTCAGTTGGATATTATTCCTTCTGTAGAAGCGTCTGCAGACTACTGCAGACATGTGAAACAGCAGTGTCGCCAAGCAGACAAACACCAACCTGAAACAAGCCTTCCTCGCACAACTATCATGCCGATGGGGATACCGGAACACTCTCCTCTGCCTAAACGATTTGATGAAAAAGTACTGTCAGAGGATACGTTGACTGAAGGCAAAAACATTCCAACTATCATGACTAATGATTCGGCCCCAGTGCATAAAAGACAAGAACACCAGATATCAAGAGCTCAGTTAACTTTTCTTCACTCAGGAAATGTCTCTGCTGTGGATCTCACAAACCATGGGATTCAGGCCAAAGAAATGGTCACTGAGGAATATACTCAGACAAATTTAAACCCATCAGTGACCCATCATCGCCCCAGTGAGTCAAGAATAAATGCCAAGGAGAAATTTAGTTCTCTCCCAAATGTATCTGACACGGCCACACAACATGATGATAGAGTAACTGGTCTGTCACTGTTTAAGAAGATGTCATCTATTCTTCCACAAATGAAACAAGATACAATTGCTAACCTCAATAAGGCTATCACAGCAAATCTACACACTAATGAACTTACGGAAACACAACAGATTGTAAACACAACCTTGTATAGAGTGACAGATGAGCCATCGGTGGATAATCACCTTGATCTAAGGAAGAAAGGTGAATTCTATCCTGATGCTACTTATCCCATCGAAAATAGCTATGAAACTGAGCTTTATGATTATTATTATTATGAGGATCTTAATACAATGCTCGAAATGGAGTATCTGAGAGGGCCAAAAGGAGACACTGGACCTCCCGTAAGTTTTTTTTTTTAATTTAAATATGTCTTACTGCTCTTATCTTACGATATATTTTAAAGAGAGTTCTCTGGACCAAACAATACAGAACAGATAAGATCTGTCACAGCAATGTATCTGTGTACAGTGAGTGAATAGTGAACTTATATTTGCTACAACACATCTGCCAGAGTGCAACCCTGGCCCAAATATTGTATTTTCCTTTTTCAATTGGCAGGCTGAAAGGTTACTTAATTCTGGCAAAGAGGTGAGCAAACTATATGTCTTGTTCAGCTGAAAGTCAATCAGGAATTTAACTGCTAAGTGTAGATTAGCATTTTTATTTTTAGGTAAAATTAGGATGAATGCATAATTAGGTTACAAGAAGGATATACAAGTTATGGTCGAGTAAAGAAAAACACATTGAATACATTAATTAAATATCCTTTCAGCAAAATAGTATCAAATAGATTTAAATAGAGTGTGAAGATTATTTTAGAGATTATAGAATATTTTACCATTTTAATTTTAGATTCAGAGGGTAGACATGCATGTTCATTACATCAACATATTGTGTAGTGGTGGGGATTGGGTCTCAGGTGGCTTATTTCCCAGATAGGGAACATTGTACCCAATAGGTAATTTCTGAATCCTAACCTCCTATTCACCTCTCCCTTATTGTCATCTCCAGGATCTATTATTTCCATCTTTGTGGTCATTGAGCTCCCATGTATAAGTGAGAACATGCGTGCTTGGTTTTCTGTTTCTGAGTAAGTTCACTTAGGATGATGATCTCCAGTTCCAGTCATGTTGCTGCAAAGGACATGACTTCATTCTTTTTTGTGGCTGTATAGTATTCCAACAATGTTTTCTTTATCCAGTCAATTGTTGGGAGGAACTTAGGTTAGTTCCATGACTTTGCCATTGTGAATATTGCTATGATGAACATATGAGTACAGGTATCTTTTAAAATATGGTAATCAATATATTTTCCTTTGGAAATTCCCTAATAGTGAGATTGCATTTTGTAGTGAATCATTGACTTGTAAAAAAAAAAAAAAAAAAAAGACCCTGACATTATTATTCTAAACGAAATATTTTAATTTCCATGAGAGTAACATATTTCATTATGTCTTTAATTATATAGTCAATTTACATTCATGAATTAATAAATGTTTCACTTACCAACCACAAAAGAGTCAGCCAGTCTATCAATCTGTTCAACAGAAAAAAACAGCCAAGCCACTTATTTAATAATATATAATAAATCTGTGAGATAATAGACTGAATTTTCAGCTCTGTTTTTTTTTTTTTTTTTTTATTGTGTAGGTGGAATTAGAGATCAACATTTGAAAATTTCTAAAATCATTGAAAAACCATTTGCGGCCATTTAAAATGACAACATTGGAAACATTGTTTTTGCCTTTCATATTTGTATACCTTAAGTAATTTTCCTTTATGTCTTTAAGAATTGATTTTTTCCCCAAAGTTGCAAGTAAACTAAAACATATCTTAAGGTATTTATTTAATGAAAATGCAACTTGAGTCTTTGGTTTAGTTCCAGAAACCATAGAATGGGAAAACATGACGCCGCCTTCTACCTTGTGTTTCATTTGTAGTTATTACTCAAAATGATTTTATAGGTATTGAGCAATTCTTAATAGAGTGAATGGTTAGAAGTTGTAAAATAAAATATGAAGATACACTATTATAAATAAATAAGAGTATATTATTAAAGGAAATAAATCCTTTTCAACTATGACAATTAATTATCAACATATTGGTTATAAAATTGAATCACTGTGCAGGTCATATTAAACAAATATTTATGGAAGCTATTGACTTTCTTCAGAAAAAGCCATTCATCTCTTCTGTGAATCCAAAAATAGCTATTCAGCATTGGTGGGTAAAGGAATACACTGGATATTTATTTAGTCTCTGCTATATGCAAGGCAGGAGCACAATGTATATATAACACAGTCATTGCTCAGAAGGAGTTTATATTTCAATAATGGGATAAAGGAAGTGCACTTATAACTATATCCTGCAGTAAAATAAGATAAATGCTGTGGAGAGATACAAACTAGTGTATGGTACAGAGATGTTCAAAGGTTTTATATATAAAAATAAATATATTTAGGGGTTCTCTATGAAAACTGAGTTGTTCAGAATAGCTTCTTGTGGACAAAGCTAGTTATGACCTAGGCTCAAAGAATGGGTAAGCTTTTGATAGATGAGAGGAGCTGGTATGCTTTTTATATAGGGAAACCAGCATAATAGCTATCATTTATTGAAGTCTTACTTACCATTCTCTTTATATACATTATCTTAAAAGAACTTTGTATGGTTAGTATTATTATCCTCATTTTTTCAGGTGAAGTAACTGAATCCTAGAGGAGTTAATTTACTTGCTCACAACAGCATTGCTGGTAAATAATAGACCTAGGATTTGGACCCAGGTTTTCTGCTTGTAAAGCCCAAACTCTTTCATGGTATTTTAGAAGATAAAGACCCAAGTTAGATGGTGTTAGGTTGTGGAGAGTCTCCACTGTTAAATGGGTGATCATAACTTTGTGGTGTTCTCAATGGGGGAATTTTGTAGGTTTCTAAGCAGAAGTATTAATAGGAAAGCCAGTCTGGCAATGGTACCCAGAGCAGACTGAAAATTTGTCACCATCTTGGTGTTATGTGACTAGGACATTATCTAGGTTGGCAACAGTGAAAATGAAAAGTAAAATAAGATTCAAGAGATATTGAAGGAAAATTTGGTAGAACTGGAAAATTAATGGGACCTAGGGACCAAGCAAAAAGGAAGAGAATCAAAGATGACTATCAAGGTTTAAGCCTGCAGATTGAGAAAAGAGTGATATCATCATTAAAGACAGTAATTAAGAGAGGTATTCAGTTTTAGGGGAGGGAAAATACGTTAAAAATTTAAGAAACTGTTAGTAATTCAGCAAGTTGTTGGAAGAATTGAAGAAGTTGAAGTAAAGAAGGGTTGTCAAGGCTGAGGATATAGATTTTGGAGTCTTCCCATCAATATTATAGTTGAGGCTGTAGGGTTGGATAAGATTTTCAAAGAAATCCATATGTTTGTCCTTCTTTATGGCTGCATAATATTTCATTATGTGGAAAACTGTCAGGGAAATGGGTGGGATTGGCAGTTGAAGGAAACTGCTAGGGGAGGAAGGGTCATAACTCATCAACAATGGTACCTGCATAATCAACATTTGTATACCTAACCCTGAATTGTACCTCACATCTTTATAATAATAAAAAACAAACAAACAAAATTTTCAAAGAAAGGAATGTGGCAGAGAGTCAAGAGCCAAATCAGGGGCAAAGTTTGCTTTTTCCGTTGTAGAAGAAGAGAACAGAAATGTGATAGAGTAGCCAGAGAAATGGGAGAGAAAATGAATGAATTACCAAAACGGCCAAAGAAGAGAGTTTTGGGAAGAAATTGAAAGCCGTACCAAAAGAAATAGAGATGTCAAAGAGAACAAGAACTGAAAGAGTGGGGAAATCTGTTGGGTCTTCTGATGGATATGTCATTGTTGAACTCTGAGAATTCAACTTCAATATTATGTAGAAGACTACAGGCAGATTTGAGAAAGCTAAGAAGAGAATGAATTGTGACAAAAATGATGACCCTGTAGGGATTGTTTCACTGCTTCTTGAAGTGGTTACCAATGTGGAAAGCCTGAGGCTAACCCGGTTTTTCCTACTTCTAGGTGACTGATTTTCCTGCCTGTATACCCATGCAGTTCTTTCATTGCCTTTGAAGTTCATTAAACTTTACTAGATTTTTGTGTCTTTTTTTTCCTGGTACTCTTTTGATCTGAAGATTATTCTTATTATATGAAAGTCTCCTCTTACATCATTAAATATTTTTCTGTTCCATTTTTCTATGTTCTTCAGGCACACCCATATGCATACATTGAATGCTATTTATGACGATAGATAGTATTTAATATCTTCTCTACAACCATGTCATCAGGATTGCTCTTTTCCATTTCATTTTGTGTGAATTTATTTATTCGATATCCATTAACTGATTTTTTAGTTGTATTTAATCAGTTTTTGAGGCTCTGATATAACTTTCATCCATAATATTTCTTTTTTTTGCTCTTTCATTATGTTTCTTAAACTCTTCTGGTTCACATTTTATTACCTTTGGCTGTTCTTTTTATCACTTATAAAACTCCATTTGCAGATTAATGCTATCTTAAAATTCTTTGAATATACAGTGAACTGTATAACTGAATTCTTTCTTTGTTGTATGCAGTAATTCCTCTTCTGGTAAATGATTTTCATCAACTTTACATTTATGTTCCTGTCCTCCCATTTCTCCGTTACTCCCAGCATCTATATATAGGTCCCTTACTGATTCCTTTCTGGTCATTACCCATTTTTAAACTAAAGGCAACTCTGTTTGGGCTATTCATTTTAGAATAGTATAGGGAGAGGCCCAGGGAAGTAAGGTGGAGTTGTACACAGAGTCAAATTTAGATTGTGCCTGAAACATCATCTTACCATATTTGTTTTTTCTTCTACCCAGAGGCATGTATCCTCTCATTTTAATGCATAGTTTGTTGTGAAGCCCTTCCAATCACAGGCTGTCTAAGAAGAGATACGGTAATTCAGGCTCTTCTTGTCTTTTGTCACCTCTCACCACCAGAAATCTATAGTTAGATTTGGTTGTAGATCATAAAAATGATGGTTTCTACCTTCCCTATTCTTGACTCTTGGAACTGAATCTCTACTGGGTCATGAATTATCTCTCCTGTGGCTTGCCCTTTCCCTTAAACCTCATCATTGTAATCAAAGGATTGTTGGAATGAATTTTCAAGACTGCTATATGTCCAAGGTTTGAGGTCTGAGAAGGTTTTTGGTTTTGATCATCTGTCAACATCATTGCTCCAAAGTTTCTCAGTATTTGGCAGATAATCTTTATATTTTGTGGTCTGTGGTTGTGGTCCTTTGGTTGTGTTCCTTTCCTTGTTTCACTGAGGATGATGTTT